AAAACATGCAGTATATAAAGGTAAAATTTGCATTAAAAAAAACAACATATGTTTTGACATCATCCTCATGATTATTTTGCGCACATCGTGATACACATTTTCTATATTAGTATCGTATAGCTGTATAATTTCCAATTCAGAAAAACAAGTTACATATTAATATTATTCTGATCATTTGTTGTGATACGGTTGAATGCATAAAGTAATACATATTTTTCAACGTACATATAAATAACATAGTGCTTTAGTTTGAAGCACACAACAACGCTGACACATTACAGTGATATTATCGTCCTGCTCAGTCAAGATACTCTACCAATTCAACGAGCAGATATATGTATTTACGAAACTGTAGTCTCTTAGGAAGATCTATTTAGTAACAAGTATAGAGAAGATTTTTCTGTCCTCAAGTAGTGGCAATAAGAATGTATAGTGTTATTTTTCTACCAGGACAGTTAACTTACTTTTGGTCAATACAAATTTAGAGAAATGAAGCTTTTGGATTCAAATAGGAAGACTATATAGTATAAGGGTTTTGAGATTTATATTCATTTTTGTATATGGGTATGGCCAGCTAACTCTGCTACTGGAGTGAAATTCCGTAACGTTTTTCGCTTATTTTGTTTCCTCGATAAATATCAGGCAGTAGCAGATGAAGAGTTGCGAGACGTCTTAAATTAAAGAGAAAAGTCTTGTACATATTTTAAGATATTTTTCGCTTTTGGAACATTTGTCGTTTCCAAGATATAACAAAAGAATTGAACACCACTTTTGAAGAAATAATAATTTTCAGAATTGAAAAGTAGTTATCAGTTTTTTAATTATATCTTGGAAACGACAAACGTTCCAAAAGCGAAAAATATCTTAGAATATGTACAAGACTTTCCTCTTTAATTTAAGACGTCTCGCAACTCTTTACGTGCTACTGCCTGATATTTATCGAGGAAACAAAATAAGCGAAAAACGTTACGGAATTTCACTCCGGTAGCAGAGTTAGCTGGCCATACCCATATAAGGAACCGAAGAAGCAAAATTGAAGCAGCTAATCGTATACATGTACGTGGTTACGTGGAGAGTGACGAACTGGTCAAGAGTATTTATATTTTTTTTAGAATTAGTTTTTAAAGCGAAAATTATGGCTTTTTCGATGACCTACTTGTTATGAAAAAAAATACAATTAACGATAACTGAAAAATTGTCAGTTGATTTTCTTTCCTTTGGATTTCAAAACTGCGTGTTACAGATTTAGCATCAAAACTAAATCTATGAAAGTCATTTACAAAAGGCTTGCGTAGATTTTGTTTTGACATCAAATCTGAAACAACCAGTTTTGAAAGGTAGAAGACAGAATTGACCTTTTTTTTTAATAATCAGTAGATTGCCATTTAACGAAAAATGATTTCTTTCCTTAAGAATCAATTTGAGAAAAGAAACATATTCTTAATCAACTCGTCACTCTTCACCTAATCAGATAATAAAGATACACCGAATTCTGCTTTAACTTTGCTTTTTCAGCAGTTTATATAAATAAACCATTCCGAATACCTCGTATTGCACCATCCAAAAACAGAGGGTACACCAATATCATATATATAAATTATGCTAAATACCCCAGCATCTATTATACCCATTCAAAAAGCAGAAAATGCTGATCGGTTTACAATTACGTATCTTTACTGAATCCCAAAAAATTCTGAAAAGATTCCAATTGAAAGAAACTTAAATGTCTTTATCATGAATATTTAAATTCGTGTTGAACTTAAATTGTAAGAAACTAAACTTCTTTCAACTCTAGATCAAATTCACGTAAATATAAAATAATTTAATTAGGTTTGAAAAAGATATAAATGTGTCAGGATTGATTTCCTTCGGTTCAAATACAATATAAAAGAAATTAAATCAGATTTAAACCTATTTAAACTCGTCTGAATCAATTTAAATTCGATCTAGCTGTATTTAAATTCATTTAAATTCCGATTTAAAAGGATTCAAAGATGGTTCAAATAGGTCCATATGAAATATAAATGGATTAAATTTGATTTAAATCCGATTTAATAGCATCTCGATTGCTTAAAACACACAATATATATCGGATTTAAATGCACTTAAAAAGGATTTTAATGGAATGTAAATTCATTTAAATGAATTGGAATCCATTTGTATTCCTTTTGATTCAACTTACATATATACAGAGGTTTAAATCCTATTTGAGTGCCTTTCTATTGCATTTAAACCGTGAAGAGTGATGCCTTATATTCCCATCAACACCCACACCCGTAAAAGCTTCTATATTTTTGTTATGTTTCAAAGAGAATCCTGTGTTTTAGAAAAATTGATCCTATACAAAATCCTATATTTTCAAAATCTTCTGATTGCAGGTTAGTACTAAACAGACGTTAAGGAAATATTTATTCAATACACTCATGTATGATTACAAGTATTCTAGTCAAGACACATGATCATATTTGACACACTTGAAGTACCTTAATGAGTATGAAACTTCTAGAAATAAGTCAACACATTTATGCTTGATTGAGTTTATACATGTATAAGCCACAGAAGGAGAGAAAGTTGGTTTTTTTCTCATGTTATTCATTTACCTTTCATAATACATTTCCTTTCTTTTTCTTCATTTGTATATCATGAATTCAAATAACGACGATTTGGTAGTAAAGAAAAACAATAATAATATTATTCTTTCATCAAAAGGTTTAACTATTCTACAAACATGCGTTTCTGGTATGGTTATGGGTTTTATTGCTTACAGTGGATCCTTTTCGGCAGTACCAATATTTTTTACAGTAACTGCTCTGATGTTCGGTACAAAATCATTGATTACAATAATGGCAACAGCTTTTGGTCAATTAGCTGCTGGTTATCTTCATACACATTCTTCACGAACTGGTATGGCTATAAGTACGAAGTTATTTCATGGATTTTATATAGCAAAACCAGAAATGAGAAACCGACGACAACATGATGAAACAAGATGGAATAGTTTAAAACGTTTTTTTCTATTAGCTCCAATGAATGCTCTTGTACTTAATTTCATGTGGGAGACGTTCACTTTTTATTATCTTATTCAGAGTGATTTGTTCATCCGATATGTCGAAAGTTCTACTTCAAACACAATAGAAAATGAGAAAAGAAATGAAACGATTGCTTCATCCACAACCAAAGAAATTGAACCACATCTTCTACTTATACATGGAATAACACGTTATCTAGCAGGTTGTTTATCTGGAATGAGTACTGGAATGATAAACCAGCTATGGCAACGACATCTCGCACAAAGAAAAACACCATATGCTGTATTTAATAAAGACAAAAATAAACTGAAATTAAGATGGGATGAAAGAAAAAAACTACTATCTCCATTAAATATTGAAAATTGGATTAAAGCCTCAACAATGACTTTAGGAGCATTATTCTTTATTGCTAGCAATGTACCGAATAGAACTGGATTTCATTTGTTAGATATTCATCGAAAGAAGATAATTACCGATATTCTTGTTATTCATGGTGGATGGCTTTTCATTCGAGATTGTGAAATGCTTCTTTTGAAAAATGCTGAGAAAGGTCCTCAAATTTCACCAACAGTGGCACAAGTCGCATTGCTTGGTGAAGAAAAGAAACCATTAGAAGATGAGCAATCAAAAATGCTATCACCCATTGCTTAAACGCATTAGACTTTAAATGTCTTAATTGACAGTAAAAACTGATTATTATTGTATATAGAATATAATCATATATCATTGAAAAATCTGTAAATCTATTTAACCAAGCTCAGTTTTATAGTTTAAAAAAAATTATACATTCAATTATATGTACTTTATATATTCTTAACGTGAAATAAATAGATAACATAGTATCTTATTCAACTAATTGAAAAACAAATGAGTCCTTCCATTGATTAAGGACTATTATTGATCTCTATCTTATTGCATTGTTATTGATTCATTGCAACATTTTCCTAATGCTCATTGACTAACACAAGATTTTTAAAAAATTGATTTTTTTATTTGCAAGAGTGTACGTTGAAATGTAAGTCTCGCCGTTGATTTTTCAATAAAGTTCTCGAAAATTTCATTTTGTCGACCGAGCTTAAATCTTAATTCTGTAAGATATAATTGGATATGTCTTCATACCTTATTTTCGACGGTAAAAACTGTAGCTCTCTATCTTATTTCTATCAATAACAAAATTCTATTGTCTTCTATTACGAACCGATTAGTAACAATTTGATTCATTTTGGTAGGTTTTTTTGACACAATTGACTCTTATGTTACCTCTTTATTGAAATCATGGAAAATCCACATCATATGACGAAATTGATTAAAAGTTTAAAAAAAAAAGATTTCAAAAACAATTTTTTCTATTATTAAATTTAATAATCATGAAAAAAAAAGACTTCATTGATTTTATGTTCATAATATTTTCATGGTAAAAATTAGAAAGAAAACGATATTGTAAAAGTTTTATTCTATTACTATACTGAATCATTGTCATTTAGTAAGTACTGCGTTATAGTTGTCTCGCTGATCTATTTCAACATATCATAGACATATTGAATTGAAATGATCGTTGGATAATACTATTTTAATCAATGAAAATGCAAAGGATACAGTACATTTTCAGTTAACATATTCAGGGTTTACTCTTTTGTATGTCGTTGTTAATGGAGATTGTCAATGACAAAACCAATTCACATTTATCTTCTTATAACAAAGAAAAACTTAGGTCATACAGTTTTATTTCTTTGCTGTTCTCGTTTGTAACACGTATGATCGTTTACACGAGTTTGTTTCAAACTACTATGCATGTTCCTTAGTAGATAGGAATCAAAAAGAAGAATAACGTATAAGTCTTTGATTAAGTCCAGCATATTTTATTTATAAATTTCGGGATTTTTAATACTGGTGAAGAGCTAGATTTTATTTCTCATTGATTATTCTACTTTTACAGTTACTAAAGAAAATCAATTGAATCTTTTAATGTTCCTATAGATTGTGTAATATTTTCTTTAGAATTTTATGGGTTTTATTGTTATCAGAAACGAATTTATGTTTCTGATTTGGATGAGATGAATCTGCAATGATAACAGGTGGAGGAAACGAGGAGTTAAATGCTGATGCAGGTAGATCAATTAGACTGCTCAAATTCATTTGACATGGATGTGTTTTATCAAATATATAATATTCATCTATTTTTGATTGAGTAGTAACAGTTGTATTATTACTTGCAGTTAGATTTCGACTATTACATATAGATATTAATAATCTCGAACTGTTTGTCGCTGTATAATTATCATTGAGGAATAGATTATTAGCATTATTAGCTCGAATAAGACCTTGACTATACCTTCCAAAATACAATATTGAAGATTCCATTCCAATATCACAAATAACTGGTACTAATTGAACTGGATTTGGTAAAATGGTGATAAGACCTTGTTCTTGTCCGATGCCTTCATTACAATTGATAAAAAGATTTTCAGCAAGCGTTACATTTCGACTTGCAGGACCTTCATGCCAATATAATGATAGTTGAAAAAAAACGGCAGATCCACTTGTTCGATTAAAAACTGATTATCTTATATCAATATTTCTTGTTTCTAACAAAACATCACGAGCTCGGTTATTTTCCACAGTAAAGTTTCGTATAGTAACTAACGGTGTATCAGCTACACAAGTAAAATCACTAGTACTGGCGTTGATTGAACTAGTAAAGATAAATAATCGTGAAGTGGCAGTATATATCGTCAATATTGAGTGAATCAGTTCAATCAAATGCTTGGATAATTAAAGCAGTCGAGTTAATTACTTCGGCGATCATTACATAAAGTGTAAGAATATTTAATCCATCATCGCCTTGTCTTTGATATTTACTATTTGATAAAGAAACATATCCTCTAGTACTAATAAAATGCATACAATCGGAATTCGCACTCAGCCAACGTTCATCATATAGTGTAATATAATAATCCAAAATAGTCAAACGTTTTATTCTATTAGTAACTAAAGCCATACCGCAAGATGAGTGAATATATCAATTGATTGTATGATGAAATCTGTCGAATCAATAACAACAATACCATGACTGAAAATAGAATAAACGGTAACAAGATCATCTCCGACAGTAAATTCTGTTTGTGATGCCAAAGGTATACGAAGAATACCAGTAGAAAACGAGACTAGTATTGACATTTGTTGGTGGAATTTGATAAAAATTATATGTTTTTGAACTGAAAATTTCAACATCTAGATCAGTGTCAGTTACATTAACAACATAACCAGTTGTAAATGATAATGGATCGAAATCAATCGATAATGAAGTGATTTTTAATCCATTAAAATACTGAGCATAGAATATAGACATTATTGATGTACCTATTAATAATGTTTGATCTATTCCTTATTCTGTTATTATTAAATTAGTTGCATTAGATATAACAATTTTTGATGATAAATATTCGATGTACCAAATCCAAAGGCAATAGTAACATTTAATCCATAGCTAATGGCTTCATAAATAACTAATTGAATTTCGTTTGAATCATCAATATTATCTTTTGGATATGCATCAAACATTGAAATATAAAATACTTTTTCTGTGACTGATAAACATGTAATACACATTATAATCAAGCGAAGCCAACCGCATACAAATTTCATTTCTATTAATAAATTATTTCGCAAGTTTTGCTACACAGTGAGAGTTTCGTTTCTTTATATATATATATCATCATCTATTGACACTTTAAAAGATAAAAACAACACTGATGCAATACTAACATTAAAAAAAACACTCATGTAATGAAAGAAAGCTGTATTAAATGTCTCATTCTTTCAGGCTCTATATGTTTTCATGCTACGTGTTTCAGTCGGAGAAAGTTGATGCTCACTATTTCGTCCGTTTTTCGTTTTTAAAGTAATCGTTGATTCGATCTAAATCATCAAAACATAGTGTGTGTGTGATTGTGTTTGTTTGTTCCATCCGAATCCACACCCAAATTATTGTACTTTTTATTTCTATATATCGATGGTATGGTTACTTTTTTTTTATTTTAAGAAACTACATGAATTAAGGATAGGAAAAATAAAATGAGTATTAAAACGATGTTAAATATAGGATAAATATGGAAATAACGATAGATAATGTATATTTAATAGTAATAGCTATATTTGTTATTGTTTCCCAAACATTATCAGTTCAAAAAATTGAATAGCTGATTGTTTACTTTTAATTGTTGTATCAGAAAAAAATCAATTTTGGTGATAACATATATGTTATGGCTAAGCTTCAACCACAATTGCTTTCTTTGTCGGCCATTGATGCTGCATCTACATTTGTATTATTTCAATTTTAATATTCAGACTGAAAAAGAAACTTTAACTGTTGTTGTACGTCCTGTACGTGGTATTTTCGTATAAGTAAATTTGGAGTTAATCAATGAATATTGTTTAGCAAAATGTCGCGCAATGGGAATGAGTTACGCAGAATCCATAGCTACCACCTTTATTTATGAAATAGAATAATTAAATATTAAAAATGAAAAAAGAAGACTAGATACCATGTAATAATAAAACAGGTAATTTAGTCTTTTTGGTTGGATATTCTAATATTTGAGTTTGTTGAATTCGACAATAAATATCAGACATAACATGTGTTGATGTAAATGTATCATTAATGATCTTTTGAAATATTCATCTGTTGAATTTATTTCTTAAGAATCTAAAGAAGACTATGATTCAGATAAATTATTATTAAACTCAACTAATAATGCATATTCTGGTACTTCATCTACAACTGATGGTTGTGTGGCATTTAGAAAATGTTTTAAAACATTTTGATCATCTGAATTACATCGATTGATTCAATAGATTAATGCAGGAAAAAGTTGCATCATATTTAGATAAAATATATATGATATCTAAATAATTTTTTTATTTCTTTTTTTTGTTTTACTTTTTTAGCAATATCTTCTGTTGTTGTTTTTAATAAAAAAAAAGACAAGATGAATTTGTTTGAAAATCTGCATTCATTTTATGTATAAAGTGCGCGCCTTGGATGATTATCTTCAAAATATTGTGCACAACCTTAGTCATCTTGTGAACAACGTGTAAATAAATGCAAAAAATATAATTTAAATATTTATCACGATGAATTAATCGTGTTATATCAGTTAGTAAAATTGAATCAAGTATCACTTCATCAACTTGTTCATTATCTTTCGTTATATGAATATATCTTTGTAATAGATAAGTACCTTGACTTGATCCCATTAATATAACACATTGATTTGAATTTAAATATTGACGATTATTATCAGTAATTACTTTAAAAATATATTCGAAATCAAATGCTGTATTTGTAAATATTTTTTGTTTTAAACGATATTCATTTTCTCTAATATATGGTAAACAAGCTGTAAAATTTTTAATTATTGATGTTGGACACTTCTAATAGACTACTTTTACCAACACCTTGTTTATCTGTAACATATACTGATATTGAACCATTTAATGCACTAACAACACGAACAGTCTCAAATTCTAGCGTTGACACAGGAATACCACCACCACCTATCACATTAAATCATGTTATTTATTATGATATATGTTATTAAAAATACCTGGTATTCTCCATAAATGATGAGACATATTTTCATACCCTAATAGAGAATAACGTTTAACAAATATTTCAATAGTTTGTGTGCATGTTGTTAAATTAGTTTTATTCCAATTACTAGGAACATTTAAATACATACATTGTGCATAAACATTATTTACTGTTACAATCTAGAAAACAAAAATTGAAATATGTTATATTAGAGTAGACTAAATGAAATACTCCATCAGAAAGAACAGAACAATTTGATCAATTTGAATCGACTATTAGCCATGAATTTAAACGAATACAACTTTGACCATTGACAGTACTTCAAAATATTTTAAGTAAACGTATAATTATCGATATAAAGCATTTCATAATATGCCAACGCATTGTTATTAACTGATTAGATTTTGTGTGATTCTCTTCTTATATATTTCTTCTTTTTATTAAATATGTACAAGAATCTTTTGTTTGTCAAAAAATTTCTGTGTTACTACGAATAAGTGATAGAAACAAAATCCTTCTTTAAATATTATTTTTGACGCATATTTTGTTAAGAAATGATAACATTGAGGTTAACATAATATGCAGAGTTAACAGTACTTTTTTTTACAAGTTTAAATCAAATACGTTTATCATCAATTTTTTCTTTTATATTATTCTTTTTGCGCAACAGTAGAATTCGAAACATTTTTCGATAAATTTTGATCATATTTCCTGGATACTTTCCCAATCAACGTTCTTATTGCTAATACAAGCAATCAATAAAACGAAAAGAATTTCACAATTAATGTGAACATTATTTCATAGAAATATTTTTATGAACTAAATCTTATCAAAATATAATTGTTACTATTTTGTTTTCCTAACTAGCATTATGAACATTTTAATTGAGGTCGTCAGATATGCAAAATCAGTTTGAAAAAGACACATACTATTTAATATAAATATAATCCAATCGTAAATTTTAGATGAAAATCAGATATCAATAATATTTTAGTAGTGTGATCGCTGGTTTATCTATGTTCTATGACATTATCTTAATAGATAGTCATTCATTAAGAAGAATCTTCATATTCATAGGATTACTTCACTCGTCGTAGTTTGCTCAGCAAACAAATAAATAGATAAAGAACTAAGAATATAGAAATTAAACTTGAATAATCAGCCGATGTCACTGATCAATATAATGAAAATTCATTTCTTATAAGATCTTAACAAAATGATTTAATTGAATAGTCAATATCGCCAACAAGGATGTAGGTGTGGATGTTAGAGTTTTCTTCTCTCACACGCACATATTTACAGCGTCACTCATACACAGAACGAAAGCCCTCTCCGATTGCATAGTAAGAAGCTTCTTGTGGCGTAATAAGGTCTGCATCAGAATCAAAGAATAGCTATTAGATGTATATAAGCAGTCCTCAGTGACATGTTTTTTTCCTGAAACATAAAGGTGTCGCCAATTTATAACCTAGTCATACAAACGATCGTGAAGGCTAGATGCTATCTCGCAAAATAATATTGCATTACTCAATGAGCCAATCATTAGAAACACAACGTTGATTCGAAAGATTCTGGAAAACTCATTGTGATTCACAGCCGCTGACATCGAAATCAATAATGTACAAGCTAGGAACCCTGTTGTTCATCAAAAAAAGCAGAACAAGGAAAGATTACAGCCATGCAAACAAGGACGTTCTGACCACCAAAAGACATGACACATGCAAGGACAGACGATTGTTCGCCACAACTTCTTCGGTTTCGTCACTGAGAAATCATCAAAGTCATGCCTACTTAACGCTTTCAGAGATATGCAAATCACTAAGCAGTTTTAAGGGCCCAATCTGGAAGCCACAGGACCTATCTCCAGACGACCCATCATATAGGCTCAAAAGAGTGACTAGAGCAACTTCATCACGATCCATCAAGATATATGAGTACTACCACAGAAAGATCTTTTTTTACATACGAGGATCATCACTAATTATAACCCGAAGATAGACTAGAGCTACCTTATCTTAACCTAGAAGAATAATGCAGACCAACTCTAGATAGCCCACGAACAGGTTTGGGACCTACCATTATATAGTAGGTGATGAATTATTGGTACCCCTACGTTAGTCCATGAAGAGCACAGAAGAAACGCTTACACTCATATAAGCAGCTCATGAGTCTGAGCTGTACATACCTAGCCCCAGATTGCACTATTTGCATCCCAGTTAATACTACACATCGTAATGCACGATCTCGACATTGATCGAATATGAACATCGATTATCATCCGAATTACCATACTTTTTCTATTGTTCTCAATTATTATATGTCTTTAAATAAATTGCACACTTAGGGAGATGCAAGGTTGCAGTAAAGAAAACGAAACAATAATGATATCATGAAATGTCTTTGTTGTGAAAATTCTCAGAATATCAAGAAATTGAACTTATTGATAACATCCAAAGACAAAAAGAATGTATCTTGAATACGCACAATTTGAATAACATGAAAATTACAATCATCAACGGTCTATCTAATTAAATCATAGTAAAACTATAGACTCATTAACAATGGGCTCAGATGTTCTCTTCTATACTCGGAGTATTTTTAAATAGCTAATCATAACGAATTCGTTTCTTTTACCAAACAATGGCTTTGAGTGTCTGCAAAAGTGAAACACTCAATATGAGACAAACGAGAGAGTACTGAGAATTATCCTGTTGTGTTTTAAAGTACAATCTAATAATTGGACTCCTTTATCTTCGATTTGATTGTAGCGTAATTTCAATGTGACGAGCGCCTACAAAAATTAAAAGCTACAAATACAAAAGGGTTAAGAAACAATATCGATTCACCATGTTTTGCTTTAATGCATCAGCTAAATATTGTGCTCCTTGATCTTGAATTCGATTCCAAGACAGGTCTACAGTGATGAGTGTCTACAAAGTGGAAAACGGTAAATATAGGATAGATAAGAAAGTCATGATTATCACCGACTTATGTAGTAAAGCATCAGCAAAATATTGTGCCCCTTGATCTCCGATTTGATTGCTTTCGAGGGCGAGTGCAGTGAGTGTCTGTCGAATGTTAGAGAAAAATTTGAAGATGAAATCGATAGACACTGAACCATAACTACCTTATTATGCTTTAATGAGTCAGCTAAATGTTGTGCCCCTTGACTTAAAATTCGATTCCATGAAATTTCTAGTGTAGTCAGCGGCTGCATAAGAAAAAGTTAAACATATAATATGAATCGAGACAGAATGAGAATCACCGTATTATATCGTAATGCTTCAGCTAAATATTCTGCGCCTTGATCTCCGATTTCATTGTGGCTGAGAGTCACTGTAGTGAATGTCTGAGAAAATAAAAATATGCATATGAGAGAGATAAGAAAAGAACGAGGATAACCGTATTATATCGTAGTGTATCAGCTAAGTATTGTACTCCTCGATTTCCGATTTCATTGCTGACAAGAATTATTGTCGTTAGTGTCTGTAAAAAAAAGGGAAAGATGAATGTAAGACGAATAAGAAAAGAAGAATAGTTACCATGTTAGATCGTAATGCATCTGCTAAATGCTTTGCTCCTTGATCCTGAAGGTGACTTCAAGTCAATTCTAGTGCAGTCGGTCTCTAAAATTACCGTCAAAAATCAGAAAATACTATCTAGTACAGCCGATATGTGTGTTCAATTTTTTTCTATTTTGTTACAATATTATTTACACTATCTCGTTAATCAAACATGTTTTTCTGATGTTTCTCAGAAAAGAAAATGAATAACCAGTGTCAAGTAAATGCGATAGTTTACTGTTCAAAATGCATTAGCCAGAACAGTTCATGACAAAACGAACTATGCTAGATTTCGAAGAAAGACGACTCATTGAACAAATCGATTTTAATGACACAATAAAAAAAGCGTTGTTTTATTCAACGGAATTTTATTCATACCTCTATGAAATGCTTTGGGTGCAAAACTAGACGACAAGTACTATCGATTGATGTTACTTGATATGTGTTCGTGCTCGATACAGTAGTCTTTCATGTTATTGACTTCGTATACAGTCGTGTTAAGCGAGATCCTAAGACATAGTCGCAAGTGACAACCCAAGATTTTTCATAAAGCCAAAACGATGTTTGAAACGGAACAAGCAACGATTCGAGACTTGTAATATCACTGTTTTTTTCATAAGCATAGGAGAGACAAATATGAAATTGATTCAATAGAGATAAGCTGGTGCGAATAAATTGTTCCCAATGAAATCCATCGAAAATCTTATCGCAAAATGTTTTTCTAAACGAAACCAATTTTAAATGGATAAGCGATGTCGTTCGTAAAAGCAGCACTTCCAGGTCATTTATGGGCAAACTACATTTCGCAATAGTTAGAGATTTTAATTGTTGATAGAATTCGTCTTTTGCAGACGATGAAACTTTTTCTGTCCTGTCACTCATTAGGCAATCTTTCATAACGAATATTTGTAAATAAGGTGAATGCTGAAGAATGACGTGGTAGTCTTGATAGGTAATTAGTCCTAGTGCTAGGTATTTTAATGAGCATGACAATGGCCATGATATGTGTTTAGTCATGTTATGGAATTGACTCAAGTGTAATTCCTGGAGAGAAGGTTGAGCAAGGGCTGATGAGAAAAATTGTAATATTGTGACCACTATTGCGTGAATTGTTCGAAAAATGCAACCACTGAAGTCGAGTAAATTGATCAATGCCTGACGACTCAATGAACTTTGAAACTTGTTGAAGTTCCATATAATTGTCGGATGCAGTTAGCGATATGACGTCTCGAGGTCGAATGAGACGAACAATAACTTCAAAATTGATTTTTGAATCAGTAGCGAAGTTCAGGTTAAATCCATTATATGTAATGACATTTGCATAGACGTGTTTACAGACAAGACGAATTGAACAAACAATAGTTTGAACATCGCAATTGTCAAAAATACGACGCAAAAGTTCAGTTGGTAGTGAAAGAAGAGATGCGTTTGTCATTGATGTGCTACTAGAATGAGTCGATCTATTTTTATTACACAACGCGCTTGATCGAGGTAAAAGAGATATGTAATAAAATTGACTTGGGTGAATTTTTTCAGTTTGATCGAGGATAGAATTCATATGTGAACGTCAAGAAAAGTTTAACGTGCAGCTTTTACACAAATGAAGCTATAGACATTATGTAAATGTGAGTGTTGCTGAGCGGCGGGATGAACGTGAAGTTTGGGTTCATTTAATTCCCTGTGTTCTCTTCACTGAACAACAACACCCTTGTCTGTCACCATTTGCGATTAAAGAAAACACTAATACTTTTTACTACCCTGATGTCACACGGTCATTTTCCTTCGCTCGTTTACCGAAAGCGTATTTTCGTTACTCCTTCTCATTTCTTTATCCAGCAGTATTCGGGTAATACTCTCAGAAAACGTCAAACGTTTTACAGATTTCACTTGCATCCCTACACATGTTGGTATTCTACGGGTGCGTCGATATTTTTGCATTCGTTAGCCACTTTTATTTCAAATCAGTTTATCGTGATAGGTCGAGTTTTTGACAAGCAATGCAACAAAGCATGTGAAATATTAGTAAAATCATGGGAGGGCGACGAATAAAAATACGACATAACTATGCGTATGATAAATATGAAAGAATGAATCATCTTATTCGCTAACTAATACGTATAGATAAATTTGGTTGAGTCTCGCAAACTAGTCATCAACTTTGATTGTATATAAATCTTAATCGTTTCCGTATTATAGCATCATATGATCTGTATATACGTATCTCACTTTTTAAATACTAAGTTCTATTATTCAAATCATTTAAACAAATAACTTACCAAAATCTAATAAATTTAATCGAAGATTAATGAACCTTACGACTGGTGGTCGCAGTCGATTTTAGAGTATTATATGCGTGATATACGGTTTTTCGTTATTGTCAAATGATTTGTTTTGTTACTTTTGATAAACAGTGACGTACAATTTTCTTATCTGCCTTTTTCTCTCTGTCTTTATATTACATGAATATCTTTCAACTCCCAAACATGTTAAGACCGATTGCGCTTATCACAAGTAAAACATTTAAGCTGGTAGCTAGATCATGAGTGTATGCTTTCAAGGAATAAATTCATAATAATGGAAGGCTCTTCATTTCAAGTGGAGTATAAAAAAGCAATATTTATTTCTGTAGGATGTGAGCTGTAAGAGTGGTTGCAAAGTGTGGGTGTGCTTGTGAGTGTGGGGTAGACGTATGGGTGCTGATGTCGACATACTCTTCAACCAACACTAAGACCCACATCCAATTTTGAGAATTATCCATTATTTTCTGAGAACCATTCTACAAGGCATCTTTATTAATCCACCATTTTTATTTTTATTCTTTCATTTCATATTTCTGATTTTGTTCTGATTTTCCTCTTTTTCTCCTAACTTTAGTGCTTAAAAATTGTAATGCAGAGCCCTGCTGAATGTTTATATTTAAAAAAAAAAGACACAAAATGTGTTGACGAAATGGGCTCTGCATTGCTTTGAATTTATTTTTATTCTATTATTATTTGGTTGTTGACAAAGTCGATTGCTGAAAAGCAAAAGCTGGAAGCAGTCAATTGATTTGTATGGTAATCACAGAGGTCAATCTGTTTTCAATTGATTCAAATATCATTGGTGGAATTCCAATTATTCAATAAGAGAGATTTCATGCATAAGTAGTGTTAAAGGACAGAAATCTTACTCTATTGTACTGATTAGAAATCACCAGAGCAGCTATGATTCGATATGTATCGAATAAAAAAGTTTGCGAAACTCGTTGTAACCTTTCGGTTTCTCGATAAGGTCGTCGTCTACATAAAGTAATTGAGGAATCCTTGTTAAGCGTTTAATATTCAAGCAAAAAGAAAACTTATATGGATGACAAAGCAATTTAGCGAGAGAAAAAATGATATGATAAAAAGAATGAGTTAATGGAAGTTTACAACAACTGATCTCGAATGTCTTTCAGCAGCTGTTGTAACTTTGTTTCGTCTCCTCCGAACAATTCTTTTATTCGTGTACAGGCTTTAATTGATAGGGTCTGCCAAAGAGTTTTATTCGAAACGCATCGTGTCTCGAGTATGATAACCACCAAAGCTGTTGTTGTTACGGAACGTTGATAGTTCTTTTCGATGGAATCAACAGTTGACGACGAGAAGTCTATTAGAGATTTGCCTGTCAGTTGCTTGATGTCGCCGTCAGTCAGTATCCATAGTCCGTCATATTTTTGTAGTTCAATAAAGCGGGAAACTAATCCTTGTTCATCTGTTGGCCAATCATTATGCAATTGCTGTCTTAGTTGAGAATCGGTTGTCAATGATGTGTTTATTTGATCAGCACTGTTTTTGGTGAACAATGATGAGACATAGCCGACGGTAGATTGTAAAGCAGAGGTAAAACCTCCCATGACTGTACTCTTTCGTTTAATCTGCGTAGCACGACAGGAAAACTGATCATTAACGGACTGAAGGTAACAGGCCCGACTATCGAGCGATGAAAGTGTTACGTCCCGTTCAAACACTTTGTCTACGTTGTTTCGCATGATAGCAACAACAGCATCAATATCAGTTTGTAATTGCTGCAAGTGTTGAGAGGATGTGTGTGATGGTGCATAAAATTGTCTTAGTGAGCTCGAACAGATCGGACTTAGTACGATTGGAACCTCCTGAAGTTTCATGTCGAAATTGCTGTCACTATTGACACCAAGTCGTCGTTCGATACCAATAAAAGCTGTATACGGGCAAAGGATGCCATACTTGAGCGAAAGATCAACAATATGTTCTCTAGCTATTGGTTCGGAGGTATGCAGAAGTTCTTGAAGAAGAGTCTTCGCTGCCAGACGCACGAGAGTTTGTGAAGTAAGTGCTGATGATACGTGGTCGACACGAGCTACACTGAGTGGTTGTTCATGCATATCTGCCAAGAGTTCGACAGTTGTCTCATGGTCAAATGGCATCGACTCATCAAGTATGGCATAGAAGAGCAGACGATCATGAATAAAAACTGGTGGAGCATGTTTGGGCACACTATGAAGGACCGATTGATTGATTTTCCATTTAACATGGAGATTCTTGATGCTTGGTCGAAGGGCACGAGCGAGCTGCTCAGCTACATGAACATCAACATTTGTGTATGGAGGAATGAAGGTATAGTGACCATTGGTAACACGGGCTAGACCTTTGACGAGGGCTCGACTTGGCTACAATAGACGAAAAGAAATTTCATTAGTTGATCTAGAATCTATAAAATACTTGCCGAATGCCCAAGACCAAATGAAAAGATGCGTGTACACGCGGCCATATCACCACATAGATTGATCACTTGATCAACATTCGATACCTCTCCATCGGTCAACAAAAAAACCTGTCTGACAAAACCTACAGGTGGATCGTTTTTCTTAAGCCACACTAGTGGTTCTAATAGCTCGGTACCCCCTAGATCAGCCTTCATAGATTGTATTAAGGCTTGTGCTTGACTCATATTCTTCTCGTTGTACTCTCGCGTTACTTGATCATTGAATAGTGGTCCAAAGTTAGATCCAAAACGAATAATATTAAAGCGACATTTGACTGGGAGACTTTTTAGAAAGAGAAGCATAGCTTTGCGTGCCAAACCAATTTTGTTATTATCTTCCATCGAACCACTGCAGTCAATCACAAAGAGAAACTCGTTCATCACATTGTTCGAAACGCGTTGACAGTCCTCTTCATTTGGCATGAATGAGACCATAAGAGCGCCTTTCTCAATGGCTGCAATTGTATTTGTTCGAGCTCGTGACAACTCAATATCGACGATTATATCACGACTAAAATATTAAATTAATATATGTAGGAAGCTGTTGTAAGCATGTGGATCAATGTGATGTCAAAAAGCAAAAAATATTCAGTTTCGTCGACTGGTCAAAGCCAACGAATCACTTACTCAAGCTGCGCTGTTTTTTGACTAAATGTCACAAGAAAAAAATCTTCATTGTTCAAATCGACCATGATTGGATGTGAAGGTGATGAGATACAGACGACATGCTGATCGAGTTTATCAACTTGACAAGTGAACTCGATCGTGTATGGAGCTGACTGAACATAGTTCGCTTGAGTTCTACCAGGTGATGTAATACCTGTTTCTGCTGGTGAGTAACGCGGTGCAATTGTTGTAGGAATAACGAAGCGAATCGTTGGTTTCTCATCAAAATGTAAAAGATCAAGTTCGCTTACATAACTAATTGTAATGCAACATTCGCTTCCTGGCTGTAACCTACAAAGAAAATAATATAAGAGAACTAAAATAGATAACATATTTAATAAATGAACAACATACGCTCCTACACTGACAACGAATATATCATTTGAAGCTTCATCTTGCTCGAATAGATATGCACCATGTCCTTGTGCGAGAGCTTCTGTGTATTCTTTCTGTGCTGTCTTCTTTTCCTTGAGTTCAGCAACAATCTCACGTTCATTGTCTATACGAGCAACAAATGCATAGACAGCTGCATTCTCTTCCACAGGAAAACTAGTAACATTGACAAAGGTCAAACAAAAATAAATAATCAATAGACGTTTTTTACCAGTATACAGCTTCGATTGGCACAGATTCATCATTTTGAAATACTTGCGTTAGTGTTACATCGGCAGCAAATGAACGAAGACGTGCGTCGACATGAATTTGTTTTAGAGGAACAGACTCTTTCAACGACACTGATCGCGTTGCTTGCTGTTTGATGAGAAGCATATTTCACTTTTTATATCGTATGCAATAAAAATGCAAAGAACAGGTAAATTTATTGAGCAGAATCAGAAAGTATGGGCAAATGAGTCATTTTGTCGGTGACGTGACATGACGCAGTTTAGTCGTTACAATATGGTGAAAGAATAAATTCTGAAGGCTCTTAAAATATTATTTTCTTTTACTTTTTTTGAAACCTATACAGAATTGCCATCGTGTGACACACTTACATTTGGTGTTTTCCTTTTCTCTCTTTTTTCTGTTCTTCTACTGTGTATAGATGACGCATACGATATACGCATGTTTTCTTTTCTCTTGACGTAGTATAAATATTTTTTATCTGATCAGGTTTTCTCCTAATCCGTTCATCTATACATTTACAACTGTGAACCACGATTTAACACCCTATAACGACAAGATTTTCGGCGCGTTTACATGCCCCTTTATTTTTTCTCTATTTTCATATCTTTTCTATTACAGTTTTCCATGAATATTTTATCTATGTGAGCGATTCATACAACATCAGTAATTGATACGCAGATAGATAGATCTGTCTCTTTATCTATTAACTTATCTGCAAAGCAATCTAACAATAAATCGACCTACCTGATTACATAACTACTCTATCATAGTTAAAAGATATGAAAATAACAAAAATATCTTGTTGCATTCCGGATACAAATATTTGATTTTGCCAAGTATACGTGTTGCATTTTTCTCCTTCTTTCTATTCTTTATTTTCACGAACATTAATAAAATAAAAAATTTAGTCACGTACGAGCACAATTATATGCTCGAGAAAAAGTTCTATATTTGGTAGTTGAAAAGGATAATAAATCAAAAGAGAAATCAACTATTGATATTGTAGACAGAATGTTAGAGAACATAAAGTGACAGAGAAAGGCCCTGTAAATCAGTATTGACGTGCACCGGCCAACAGATTATAAAAGAAAAATTAGACTCCAAGACGAAAAACAATGATACTTTGCTTCTTTTTCATATAATTTATTGTTAGAGAAATATGAAGATCAATAACTAACATAGTAAAGAATTTCTATGCAGAGAATAGAACATCGCTTATTTTGCTTTTTATTTTGTACTAAATTTTTTTCAAAAGTAACTAAGCTCTTCAAGAGTAAGCAATTGATTTATATAGTTTGACTGAACTAAAACTGTCTGATTGTGTCAACATGAAGAAAAAACAGTTGTGTTATTATTTTGTAATAGAAAATTATAGTTGTGAACAGTGAGATATTCAGTTCAAATGCATAACTGATCCATGTATTCAACAAAATTAACTTGAATGCCCAATTTAAATCAGAATTTTATTTCTCTTTTATCGACATAGTTGAATCTCTTCAAGATGAATAATGATTCGGTACTTTATTGACGTTTAATATAAAAGAAAACAACGTTTTAAAACATCATACTTCAAAATATAGAATTGATCAATTTTCTAAGATGAACTTCAGTTATCTGATTTCAAGTTTATGCATAAGTACTAGCCGAAGTCAAAATGAACCTTTCAGTTATTTTAAGAATTTGCTTGCTCGTTCTACATAGACAGTTTTCTAGCCTGAGTTATTGAATTGCATGTTGTGAGACTTTTATGAGTGTATCTGTGTTCAACGTTCGTTTATTATGTACACCGAATGATAAATAGATTAAGAGTATTTATTGTTTGAGAATAAGAAAGCTCACGTAAAATGCTGACCGTATTTTGCCTTCTTAATATATGAATAAAGTTCATGAATGATGTTACTAATATTTTTTATCGATTTAAACATAATTAATAAAAACCACAGGTTTTCAATTAATAACAATGATAATCATGAGAAACCTTTTTTCGAAAAAGCAATAACCGAGAAGATGAAATAAAATATGACTACTCAATAAAAAAGCAGATGGAAAGGTTAGTCTCATATGGTGACATCTGTTCATGCTAAGACATTTCACACACATATTCATGCTATGATCAAAATGTGAATGAATAAGAGACAAGCATGAGAGGCAAATTGATTCAACGCTAAAGCAGCTTCGAGTGCACGTATACATCTCTTGTTTAAATACCAAGCAAGTCGCTCGTGTATACAGCTACGAGTAGCTGAGTGACATATACATATATATACATTACCATGCTCGCGTTTTGAATTCTCAACGTTTACAAAACTCTTATTTTCACATTGAAACGCAATAAAAGTGTTATTCCCTACGTACAAGCACTTGTCTCGAAACTGAAATCAATTGAAAACTGTATAAAAGCACGAAGGGTTTGAAGTGTTCACAAATTAGCTTGATTAATATACGCATAATTATCTATTTCTGATCAGTCAAAGGTTTTAATTGCTAAACAAAATAATATAAAAACATTAGCTCTCGAACACGTTCGTATTTATCTAGTTTTGCCCGCTAAAATGCTAAAAGTTTTAAAATAAATAAAGACAAAAATATGTATATGGAATAGGGGTCAAAGCATTTATTTTTCAAGCCATACCATGGTTATCAATAATTAAGATCCGATAAGAATGAACACATTCGTAAAACTAATTTTTTAAACATTTACACACCTATATGTATATTGGATATATATTTGATATAAATACTTTGTGAGTATAATTGTGAAAACTTTACCAATTTACACCCACATTCTAAACAGGCTCGTGGTTGCAATTGAAATCTGAAGAACTTTCCTAATAACAGTCGCAAAATCAACAAGGTAAGATTCTAAAAAATACTTGTCTGTCTATAACTATTCTAGTCTTATTCAGAAACAATTCGTGGCTGAGTAACCAATGCGTTTTTAGTATCTACTTTCAGCGACCACTCATCATCATATGACTCTGTAATCGATCTATTTTTGTCTTTTACGGGTGTGAATGTGGATTGTGCGAGATGAGATGATAGGCACCTACATCCCATCCACTCATATCCAGCTACACATTTGATAAATTATTTTGAATTGCATAATTTGTAATAGGACTCTGAAATTTCTTATTTCAACATTATTGTTTTTCGTTTCTGTTTTCATTGTTACTTCTGTAAATGCAACACATGTAAATATTTCACTCTATATAGATGTAATGCTCTGTTACTGACAGAGTCGGCAGCTGTCGATTCAACTACTTCATATAAAGAGTTTTATTGAAAATGAAAAGAAAAATTGAAAAAGCACAAAAAAATTATAAAACATTGAAAAAGTCCAAAAAAAACAAAATTTACCGTTGTTTCTTTTAATTATACTTCGAAATATTTGTAAACCTTTCTATGGTCTACAATCGTGCCTTAGGATAAGGCATTTGGATTAAACTGCTTGCACGAACCGACCCTTTTTTTAATAGTTATGTCAAGTTTTTATAGTTAATTTTTTGTTTCTTTTTCTGTTTAGACTTCTTTGCGAAACAAAACATGAAAAAAAAAAAGAAACGGACTATTAAGATGGGTGTGGGTATGCAGAAAAATTACACAGTCACACTCATCATCCTCATTTCTTACACTTATGTAGCAATAAGATCTCTTTTCAAACAGTATCTGTCAATTGAATATGTTCCTCACAAGACTAATGAAGCAATTAATATTTTGAAAGCTTTTCTTCAATATCAAAACAAATTATACGTCGACTGTCTAAACTGAATAACTCTGTAGAGTGAAAGTTTTTTAATCGTATCGATAGTGTTCACAATAAAGAATTTTTAATGTATAGACAAATAATTTCATTTTCTATGTTTGTTTATACGTTACCACAAGACTACAGATAGTTATGGATTAGAAAAATGTCTATCTCATGTTTTCTTTTCCTATTTTTTGCTGTGCTCAATCTGTGTTTCAGTGTACTGTTACTTTGTGAGACAGATATAAAGACATTTTTATCGTTGATGGAGAAAATTAGATATATCTTTATTTTGGTATTATAAAAATAAGGTGTTGTTTATTTTAAAAAAAAACAACAAATATGGAATTATGAGACGGAAATGAGTGCTCATAATACGAAATTCCAGATCATACAGCTGTAAAACAAATTTTCTTTGTTTTTTTTTATATATTTTATTCTTTTCTTTGATCTTTCAAACAAATAAATAAAAAAGTGAAATTTAAAATGGTAGCTGTAATTTTCATCTCAGTTATTTTTTCAAATATTCGTTATTATTGTTTCAATTTTTTTGTTTTTTTAATTTTATATCTAAATACATTAGATGCAATTGTTTCTTAATAATATAATAAAACGTGCATTAAACTCATTCGTTCTACTTTGTATAATATCCAAATATGGTTTTTCCGTAAATTTGACATTTTGACTAATGTGAAAGTCCTATAATGTCATAAACAATGAGTCCAATTTGGATCTCGGAGTGAAAATCAAAATTAATTAACTTTGATATGAAATATAGATTACAACAATATAATAATACAGCTATCAAATAATATGATAGACGTTTTATCTGGGCTTATAAAACTAATTAATGATGATGCTTTCATTCAGTTTTTTTTCGAGAATACTGTGTGAGCATGAATATAAAAAAAATATTTGGTGCAGTCTACGATAGAATTGATTGATTTTTCAATTGAAACAAAAACAAACCTTGGAAACAATTTTTATTGGCTTTATGTGACACCGAATTATTATTTTAGCAGAAAGAAAAAAAACTCACTGAAATAAAAATTCATCATGCATTTTCAAACAAAAAAGTGTGCAGTATTTCGTTTCTATGTACCAATGCATTTATGGTATATAAGGAGACGAAAAGAAAAGCATCAAGACATCATAAAAAGAAAATGAAATATGACACAATGTATGAAATTATGTTGCAATGAATTTGCTTTTCATTCGTTCGTTGTCTTGTAGGACCAGAAACGACAATAGGAAAAAAAGGAACTCGAACAACAACAACAACAACAACAAACATTAAAAACAACTAGAAACATCTAGGCAAAATTCAAACATAATATATAAAATTGAATCATGTTTTTTTATTGATCAAATATAACACATACGATGGACAGAAATAAAAAGTCGACAATGACAACTACTGCTGCTGCTACACCAACTGAAAATCAAAGCACAAGGCTACGACCGCCTTCTTATGGTCGTATGGTTCAGAACTTTTTGCTTGTCTGGCTAGATAGCGGCATCGATCTAGAAAACAACGATTGCAAGCATACTATTTCAAAATTAAAAGAAGTTGTCAACGAGGTCAAGACATTTACGGATGTCAATCAATGTATCAATTTTGTCAGTGACCTCAAAGAAGACAAAACGTTTATGATCACTTCCGATACATTGGGCCAAACCATGGTTCCCGCCGTACATGATATGCCGCAGGTCAGTACAATTTATATTTTTTGTGGGAAAAACGTTATGAATGAACAATGGACCCAACATTGGTCGAAAATAAAAGGAGCCTTTACAGATATTGCTTCTATATGTAAAGCTCTTCAACAAGCCACACAAGACTGTGATGAAAATATGATTTCTATCAGTTTTATCAGAACTAGTATTGGGAGTAGCAAGGTAAATCTTAATGAATTGGATTCTTCATTTATGTACATCCAAATAATAAAAGAAATTTTATTGACTTTTCCTTTCAAACAATATCATATCGATGAATTTATTATTTATTGTCGTCAATTATTCGCGGCAAATCCAAAAGAACTGCAAAATGTGGAGAAACTAGAACAAGAAACTCATAACTATCTTCCAATTTGGTGGTATACATACCCCTGCTTTCTTTATTCGATGTTGAATCGGTCATTACGAATGATGGAAGTTGATCTCATCATAAGAATGGGATTTTTCATCCAAGATCTATACAACCATGTTGCCAAGCTCCATAAGAAACAATATGTCGAGCATTCTAATATGGAATCGTTTACTGTCTTTCGTGGTCAAGGAATGTCCAAGACCAACTTTGATCGGATGGTCAAAACACAAGGTGGACTTTTATCATTTAATAATTTTGTATCGACTAGTACGCAACGTCAAGTATCACTTAACTTTGCTCGTGAAACGATGGAATCTTCCGATCTTGTTGGTATTTTGTTCGTCATGAAAATTGATCCATCGATCGCATCAATACCATTTGCTGACGTCCGTGATGTCAGCTATTTCAAAGGAGAACAACGAATTCTCTTTTCCATGCATGCCATCTTTCGTATTGGACCAATGATACAAATCGATGGAAACAATCGTCTTTGGCAAGCTGATTTAACATTGACGGGTGATAACGATCCTGATCTACGAGCGCTTAATGAACAAACACGTAAAAACACTTATCCTCATCTCCAAGGATGGGATCGTTTGGGTAAAATACTGACCAAATTAGAACAGCTCAACAAAGCTCAAGATGTGTATGATATTTTGCTCGATCAAGCATCGACTGATCGTGAAAAATCATTAATTTATCATATGCTAGGAATGGTCAAACGCGGTCAAGGTAAATATGCAGATGCTGTTGCTTATTATCAACAATCCATTGAACTCAAACAGAAGACTCTTTCACCATCAGATCCTAATTTAGCTGCTTCTTACAACAATATTGGTTTGGTTTATGACAAAATGGGTGACTATTCAAATGCACTTTTATCTCATCAAAAAGCACTGGAAATCTGCCAAAAAGATCTTCCTTCTAATAATCCTAATTTGGTGACTATATACAACAACATTGGTTCTGTGTATAACAAAATAGGTGATTATCCGAATGCACTGTCATCTCAACAACAAGCATTAAAAATTCGTGAACAAACACTTTCTTCAAATCATCCTGATTTGGCTACTTCCTACAGCAACATTGGTTCTGTTTATCATAACATGGGTGACTACTCGAATGCACTTCCAATTCATCAAAAAGCATTGGAAATACGCCTAAAAATACTTCCTTCAAATCATCCTGATTTGGCTACTTCCTACAACAACATCGCTTCTGTGTACAACAAGATGGGTGATTGTTCCAATGCACTTTCATCTCATCAAAAAGCCCTGGAGATTCGTCAAAAAATTCTTCCTGCAAATCATGCCGATTTGGCTACTTCGTACAACAACATTGGTTCGGCGCATGCCAGCATGGGTGACTATGCGAATGCACTCGTATGTCATCAAAAAGCACTGGAAATACGCCTAAAAATTCTTCCTTCCAATCATCCTCATTTGGCTCGATCTTATAACAACATTGCTTTTGTGTATAACAAGATGGGTGAGTATTCAAACGCACTATCATACTATAAAAAAGCATTTCAAATCTTAAAAAAAACTCTTCCTGCCAAACATCCTCATTTGGCTCGATCTTACAATCATATTGGTTCAGTATATGATAACATGAATGACCATTCGAATGCACTATCACACTATAAAAAAGCACTCGAAATCTGGGAAAAAACGCTTCCATCAAATCATTCTCATTTATCTCGAACTTACGACAACATTGGTTTGCTGTATGACAACATAGGTGACTATTCGAATGCGCTTTCATATCAACAAAAAGCAGTAGAAATTTATCAAAATATTCTTCCTGTAAATCATCCTGATCTGGCCACTTCCTACAACAATATTGGTTTGGTGTATGACAGCATGGGTGACTATGCGAATGCACTTTCATATCAACAGAAAGCTATGGAAATCTATCAGAACAGTCTTCCTTCAAATCATTCTCATTTGGCTGCTTCTTACAACAACATTGGTTTAGTGTACAATAGTATGGGTGATTACTCGAACGCACTTTCATATCAACAAAAAGCAATAGAAATTTACCAAAATACTGTTCTTCTGGATCATCCTAATTTAGCTACTTCTTACAACAACATGGGTTTAACATATGATAATATGGGTGACTATGCGAATGCACTTTTATCTCATCAAAAAGCACTAGAAATCTACCAAAACGCTCTTCCTTCGAATCATTCTGATTTGGCTATTTCTCACAACAACATTGGTTCAGTGTATGACAACATGAATGATTATTCAAATGCGCTATCATTCTATAACAAAGCACTCGAAATCTGGCAAAAAACTCTTCCTTCAAATCATTCGCATTTAGCTCGGTCTTACAACAATATCGGTTCGGTGTATGACAATATGGGTGACTATTCGAATGCACTTTCGTCTCATCAAAAAGCACTCGAGATCTATCAAAAAACTCTTCCGTCGAACCACCCTGATTTGGCTACTTCTTTCAACAACATAGGCTCAGTGTATGAAAAAATGGGTGACTATTTGAAGGCACTTTCATACTATGAGAAAGATCTGGAAATCTGCGAAAAAACTCTTCCGTCAAATCATCCTGATTTTGCTCCTACGTACGGACATATTGGGATGATATGTTCTAAGACTACAGAGCATTCGAAAGCTGTTTTATATTGTGAGCGGGCTCTTAAAATACTAGAAAACTCACTACCTGCAACTCATCCACATATTCAATTATATGGAAATAACCTTGAATATGTGAAAAACCAAATGTAATTGATTTTAGTTTTGTACACAGAAGTAAATGGACTAAAGAGAAAAAGCATATTTATAGAAAGACAAATAAGTCTATCAATTAATTATTTAATGTAACAGAAAAAATACTAATAAATGATGACTCCAAATGATTTGAATCTGTTTATTGTATGTCGTTCGTTAGAATAGTATTTGTTTGGGAAATAAAATAAGTTCGAACTCAAGAAATAATGTATCCATTCATTCAACAATGCACATCGATGAGAAAAGTATGTAGGTTGATGTACAATATATTTGAATAATTCTTCGACAGTATAAGTATAGGAAATATATGAGAGATCTTTAAAATTGATGAGAATCAACGTTTATGAAAAAAACTAAGTTTATTTACAATAAAACGATGAATTAACTAACTAGTTAATCTCATTAGAGTTCTATTTGTGATGAATTTCGCAAGAACTACTTCACAGTTTCATTCTAACTTCGATTTTCTGATTTACAGCAACAAAAAAAAAAGGAAATCCTAGCTTCAATATAGCGTAGTTATCTTTTGTAGATAATACAAATTTATGTATTAATTAACATTCGAAGCTTTGCATCACATTTCGCAGTCGAGTTGTAAAATAGTCGGAAATACTACTTTTATTCATTAAAAACAAGAACAAAACATTTTGATAATCAAATCTAGCTGAAATATTGATAAAAAAAAAACAAATATTGAATTTGTTTATTTTTTTTTTTCTTCGTTTTTCTTTTCTCGTTTTTCTCGTATTTGAACTATTTCTTCTGCACTAGTTGGATGTATACCAATGGTATGATCAAATAATTCTTTTGTTGCTCCAGCACGTATTGCAACTGAACACATTTGAATAATTTCTGGTGCTGAATGATCCATTAAATGAATACCAACCACACGTTGTTGATCAGTTTTTTCAACAATTAATTTTACATATGATTTTCGATCACGTTTTGGTAATTGTACAAACATTGGTTTAAATGTTGATTCATACACATCATATCCATCAGGTCCATATTTTTCTTTTGCTTGTTGTTCAGTTAAACCACATGTACCAATAGCTGGTTCACTAAATACAGTTGTACCTACTGTACCATAATCAACTTTTCGTGGTTGTTCATTATTAAAAAGCATATTTGCTAAATAATGACCTTCTTGTATAGCTACAGGTGTTAAAGCTTTACGATCTGTACAATCACCAACCTATCATAAAAATAAAAACTTTTATAAATAATCTATTACAGAATATTAAAAAAAAATACCGCATAGATGTTTGAAATATTTGTTTGTGAATAATCATCAACTTCAATTACACCTTTTTGATTTATTTTAACACCAATTTTCTGTAAACCTATATTTTGTGTATTAGGTTGACGACCAATTGCAAACATAATAAGATTTGTATTTATTGTTGTTGTGTCATTCTTAAATGTAGCACGATATGTATCATCGGATAATTTTTCTACATGTTCAACTTCAGTTTCATATCGAATATGAATACCATTTTTTTTAAGTTCTTCAGTCAATTTTGCTTGAATATCTTCAATAGATAAAAACAAAAAACATATATATATATATATAATTCTTAACATTTTAATATTCTTGTAAGGTAAATTATTAGGTGTTCTCGTTATTTCTTTCTTCGGATATATATATAATTACGTGTACGATTATTGATGGGTCTGATATATCTACATACTAAGTTCCGAACTTCTCAAGAATTTGAAACTTATAGACTCAGAATATATGTCATAGAAATAAATAATTTAATTATATATTTTCAAACCTTCATCAAAAGATCTTAAAATTGTCTTTCCACGTAAAATTAATGTTACATCACAACCAAATCCATTAAAAATACAAGCAAATTCTGTTGCAATATAACCACCACCTAAATATTAAAATTTTCTAATTATTGTATTATAATAAAATAAACAAAAAAAAAACATCTTACCAACAATAATAATATTCTTAGGTAATTTTTCAAGAAAAAAAGCATCATCAGATGTAATTATATGTTCACGTCCTTCAATATTTGGTACTATCGGATGACCTAAAATCAATAAATTTTATATTATCAATTTAAAATAAAAAAAAAGAAAAATCAAAACCTCCAACAGCAAGAAGTATATATTTTGATGTATATTCTTTATTATTAATAATAACAGTATGTTGATCTTTTAATGTTGCATGTCCTTTAATTATTTCAACATTATTATCTTTTTGAGTTTTTTCATATGCATTATTAAGACGTTGAATTTCAGCATTTTTATTTTCTATAAATTGTTTCCAATTATGATCATTAAAATTCATATCTAGTTTAGGCCATCCATAATTATATGCATCATGAAATAATTCACGATAATGTGATGCATAACAAAATAATTTTTTTGGTACACAACCAACATTAACACAAGTACCACCTAAATATTTAATATATTAAAAATAAATAAATAAATAATTTTAAATTGAATAAAATTTTTACCTAATTTTTTATCTTCAGCTAAAGCAACACGAGCACCATATTGAGCTGCTATACGACTGGAACGTACACCACCTGAACCACCTCCAATTACAAAATAATCATAATCATAATTTGAATCATTTTTTCCACTAGTCTTAGACATAACTGATCGAGAATAAAATCGAATTTGTAACGTAGTAAAAGAAATACGATATAATTTATAAGAATTATCAAAAGATTGACGCAGAAAAAATGCACGATAATAGTAGCTTAGCATATTAGAAAAATGACTCATCGAAGTTCTTTTTTTTTTCTTATGGATCTATTCGTTCTACTAAACTATCAATCAGCCAAACAATAATTACATATATGAGCATCAAAAATTAAAATTTATGTTTGATAAATCGTTATTCGTCAATGTATGAACCTATAGAAATTGATGAGTAAATATAATTCTAATTTTTTGAATGAGTCATTAGAAAAAATCTATACAATATTATTTAATTACAAATGCAAAAAAAACCTAGAGAGTTTCGAAAACGATATTCTGAATTTATATTTCGTTTAATTTTCATAAGATTGATATTTCTACTTAGTTCTATTCCAGATTTAGAATATTTTTCTTGAGACTTTCGATATCAATCTATTGACTTGCACTCATTCATAAAAGCAGTTAGACAAAGATAATTCTGCATGTTAATATTGGTTTTTAAATTCGGAATGATCTGACTCTATTATTTCAGTATTCAAGTAACTGAATACATTATTGAAAGTTTGAATAAACGTTCCTACTAATAAAGAAAAACAACGACTGAAAATATATGAAATAAATAGAGGAAACACGAAGACACATCTGAATAACATTTCAAATAGAAAAAATTATTTATATAAATTCACAATATTAGTATATTTTCAATAGTCAAAAAAAAAACAAATTCATATTTTATACATTTCTTATAATTGATTTAATTAATTTTTATTCATTTATCATATTCAATAACAAAGCATGAATAACATAGAAATCTATCACCAACAAAAAAATATTAATTTTCTTATTATTTTCAGTGTAAGATTTCAATTAACAAATACAGATCAAAAGACAAAAAAAAATATATATATTTAGACTTTTTTTTTTTTTTTGCAAACAAAAAGAATTCAGATTATGCATGACGAAATAAACTGACATGAGAAAATGGTCCAGGAGATTTTGTTACAATATCAGGTGTTATTTGTTGTTTAGTAAAATGTGTTAAGACATTTTTTAATTCACCACAAGCAGCCTGTAATAAAAAAAAAACAATAAATCATGAAAAATTTCGAAATTAATTCTATACCCAAATAAGTCCTAAATATGGAGCTGAAGGTTTCAATGGACGTGATATATATTCAGGATGATATTGAACAGCAACAAAATATGGATGATTATCAAGTTCAACGATTTCCATTCGTTGATTATCATCACTTCGTCCAACAAATTTCATTCCAGCTTGTTCATATTGTTCAATATATTGTGGATTAACTTCATATCGATGACGATGACGTTCATCAATTGAATCAACATTTCCATAGAGTTTTTCTATAGAATTATTTATGAATATGTATCATTTTCTTTTAAATATGTACAATAAATATACATACTAAGAACACTATCATCTGTTACAAAATAAGTTGTTCGACGTCCTAATCTCATTGTACCTTTCAAATTACAAAAGAATTTTAATGATTCAACAAAAAACAAAACAAACATTTCTTTACCTCCCATATTTCCTGGATTATGTTCAGGCATTTCAATAACCTATCATAAAAATAACAAAATATCTAAAATAAAGAGAAAATAAAAAAAAACTTACGACTTGATGTTCAACTTTATCGAATTCTGCTGAATTAGCACGTT